TGTTGCAAGAACATCTGCTGCTGAGAGCAGCCAGATGAAAAGCATTCAGGTGGGAGGTGGAGGAGAGCAAGAAGTAGGAGGGGGGCAAAAAGGATCATCTGATTACTGCTATTAGAATTGTGAGCTGATATGGAGCTGCAGAATAGTGTGAAATGGCAGATTAGCATAGGCTTTGGAACTGTACGGATCTGGGTTTGAATCCCTGGCTCATCCACTTGTTAGCTGAGATCTTAGGTGAGTTACTTCCCTTCTTTGAGCCTCCATTTCTTCATCTGTAAAATGGGGATAATAAACACTCTCCCACTCTCTCACCATGTGAAACTGTACTATCATAAAGATCCAAGCAGAATTCCTGTTGCACAGGAGAGCTCAGTAAATGGAAGACATTATTAATGTTTGTCCATGGGTCCATTCGTTTATTTGTTCACCAGCATTCATTATTCTTAACAATTTCTGATAGAGCCTCATTTTCAAGTAGATGCCTAATGGTGACTTAGGTATTAATAGCTCTTGTGGTCAGATGGAAGATCTTGACAGTCAACATACATTTATAGGTATATATATATATATATATATATATATATATATATATATGAGCATCTAAATGGTATGTAGGAGTGTAGTGGGTACCTGAAATAGGACTTAAAGAACAGCTGCCTGGCCAATTAATACAATAAAAGATATCCCACCTCACTAGTAATCAGAGAAATCATAAAACAAGACTAAAAAAGGATATTGATTTACACTTAGCATGTTGATAAACATTTCAACATCTGATAATACTACGTGTTAAGGAGAATATAGAGTGAGAGAGCTCTTATGTACTACTTGTAGGAGTTTAAACTGATATGATGACTTTTGAAAATTATTTGTCAATATCTAGAAATTTGAAGATGTGCATACTTTACCTACTAGCAAATTCTGCTCCAAGGTATAACCGAGAGAGAATCTCCCATATTTAATCAAGGCAATGTGTTCAAAACTGCGTTGTGAGTTATAGCAAACAATCTGAGTATCCATTGGTGGTGTAATTGATACATAAGCGTGCTAAAGCTACACGTGGTACCAGCATAGATGAATTTTAAACAATGGTGAGTGAAAAAAATAAAGTTTCAGGAGAATGCAAACAGAAAACCATTTATGTACAGCTTGAGAACATGGAAGATAATATTGATACATTGCTTATGGATACTGACAACTTTAAAGACGTTAATTGGAATGACAAATATAAAATTCAGGATGGTATTAGGGGAAGAGAGAGGGATATGATTGGAAGGGTTGCTTAAGCCTCAAATCCAGCCTCTGCCATTTATTTACTAGCTTGTATGCCCTTAGACAAGTTTCTTAACTTCTGTGCCTCAGTTTTCTGATCTATAAAATGGGAATAATGATATTATCTACTTCACAGGACTATTATGAAGATTAAATGAATGAATATAGGTTAAAATGCATAGACCAATACCTAGCAGATAGTAAGTGCTAAGTATAAGTGTTAGCAATTATAGTTCCTATTACATGAATATTTTTATTGTTCCTTTACCTTTTTTTGGCAGCTAGCCAATATGGGGATCTTAACTTTTGACCTTGGTGTTATCTTTACTTATTTTTTAAAATCTTAAATGTTGCATTTTTTAAAAAAGAATAGATGTCATTCTTACTCTTTGTCATCATGTAGTTGAAAGGTGAACAAAGATTTAAAATGTCATCAATGTAGGAATTTCAGTGTGCAGCATAATAGTAGAATGGCTATAATCATCTGACCCCTAGATGTTACACCTTTTGCTGTGTAACAGAGATGCAAAAAGATTACTCAAAGCATCATGAATGCGATGAGAAGCCCAAAGGGACTGCACCTCAGCAACTCCTCTGTTAGAAGGAGAAACGGGGTACAGCCCTGAGTTGGTTTTGCTTCAATTTTTATTGAAAAGACAAGGAAATTACAGGAAAAGGATAGATGGTTAATCAATCATAGTAAGAACATAAAGAAATGGGCTATGTAACAATCTTCATCTAAGCATGCATGGTAGTTTAAACAATATACCATCAAGAGTCATAAATTTAAGCTAGGTGACATGCAAAAGAAACAATAAGACAATCATTGAAGTGCCTGACTTCTTGAGAAACTCAAAGAAACAGCTTAAAGCAAAATGTGGAAAAAAACCCCATGTACTAACTAATCTAGCAAAACGTTCTTGGAAATCTTAACTCACATATTTTCCCATCATTTAAGCTCGGTTGTATTAAGAGTTATTGCCCTCAGAACAATCCCTGTTTAGTTTCAGTTCTCTTGTTCACATTAAAGGCTTTAAACCCATGTGAGTTTCTTTCTCACAAAATCTTCTTATTGCCCTCAGAACAATCCCTGTTTAGTTTCAGTTCTCTTGTTCACATTAAAGGCTTTAAACCCATGTGAGTTTCTTTCTCACAAAATCTTCTAATGAACCCATTATATTAACAATCAGTGTATATAATCCCTTACCTAAACAGTGATTAGAATTGATTTGGTGTGCTCTTGCCCCCTAGCTGTAGGCTCTTCCTCTTGCCTTCGAGGACTTTTGTCCCATACATGCATTACCTAAAAACCCTATACTAAAAATCAACTGAGAATCAACATATAGTTGATTAGAATTGATTTGGTGGGCTCTTGCCCCCTAGCTGTAGGCTCTTGCCTCCTTGTTGCTTTGACCCCCACAGATTTGTCACCTCTCTTCCCCTGGGTGACGGAGCCACAAAGGATTACTCCAAGCCCATCTCTTCTGAGCAGTGAGAGACCCTGAAGTGGTTAATATCCTGGAATCCTCAGGAGAGAAACATTCCTTCCATTTGGGAAATTAACCATGAATTGGGGTTCCCTTCCTGTACTTATTCTCCAGCCCAGGAAGTTACAGAAAGAGACATAGGTGGGGTTATAGTTTAACAATATAGGCTGGTAACTTTCAGTGAAACAAGTATGATGACATTCTATTAGGCAATTAAGTGATCCACCAACAAAAGCAACATTCTTAGCAAACATTCTCTTCTTACAGCAATTTCCCAGTATCTTTACATATCAATCAGTAACTTTTCTGTCTTTGAATCGGCAGCCTTGCTGTGTTACAAATCTTTATCTTACAACAGAGATTCAATAGCCTGGGGAAAATTTCCTGTTTTTTGTAAAGTCAATATTTGAAACTGCAAGGCTTTGGAAAACCAGGCCCTGTGAAGTACATATGCTTTATGCAAACTCTACACCTCCTATCCAAGAACTTTTGTCCCATGCATGTATTACCTACAAACACTATCTAATAATCAAATAGGAATCAAAATTTCAAACCCTCTACACCTAGATGTATTAGATACTATGCTAACAGATTTATATACACTCATTTAATCTTTCCCTATGAAGTAGGCACTATTTTTATCCCTATTTCACAGACAGGAAGAAAAAGACTTAGACTGATTTTCCCAAGGTCACAGAGCTAGGAGTAACAGGGCTGGGCAGGAACACAGGTGAGGCTGACTCGTGCTCTCGTGCTCTTAACCACTAGGTTTTACAGCCCACCTGACCATTGTTTACATTAGTCTCCTCTGCACAGATTCCTGCTTCCTTCCTGAATTGGCTTTATAGGCTAGGGTGTGCTGTGGTAAGAACAGTCCCAAAATATTGGTGGATTCTAATAACAAAGCAGTGTTTCTCATTCACACTAAACATTCATCAAAGGTCAGCTGGGAGCTCTGCCACATAGCTTCTTCTGCTGGGACCTACGAGTCCTGGACAGAGCAGCCACAGTCTCAAACTTTGCCAAGTTGCTATGGCAGAGAGAGAGAGAGAGAGAGAGAGAGAAGAAGGAGAGGAGGGGGGAGGAGAGAGGGAGGAGAGAGCTATGGAGAGTCTCACATTAACAGTTAAATGTTGTATCCTGGAAGTGATATATACTTCTACTTAGACATCATAGACTAGAGCAGTGGCTTCCAAACATGGGTAATTTTGCCCCCAGAGGATATTTTCCAATGTGTGGAGACATTTTTGGTTGGCACAACTCAGAGTGGGAGGCAGGGGCAGGTGCTAATGGCATCTAATGCATAGAGGCCAGAGAGGCTGCTAAACATGCTATAGTGCATGGGACAGCGCCCCCTCCCACACGGGACAGCACCCCCTCCCACACACAACAAGGGAGTATTTGGCCCCAAACGTCAGTAGTGCTGAGGCTGAGAAACCCTGGACTAGAGCTAACCACAAGGGGCCAGCAAGTACAATTTTGTGCAGCTGTCAGGGAAGAGAACCTGAAATATATGGCAAATAACACCAGTGAGCACCATGCATCCTTAGGCCTAAAAGCTCTTATAAAGGCCCTTCCGAAGATGTTTTCCATGCTGGAAGTGAACTGTTGCTTTGAGGGATAGCCATGGAACGGGGCTTCTAACACGGCCAGCTCCATCAAAGGGCAGAGGAGGCCCCTAGACTCACTGAAGCTGACTGCTGCTCTTCCTCGGCAGCCTCTTTAGAGCAGTGGATGAAAGTACAGTAGTACAATGCAGGCTGCATATGGAGTTGAAAATTTTCTAATATCCACATTAAAAAAGTAAAAAGAAACAGGTGAAATTAATTTTGATAGGATTATTTAATTCAACATGTAGTCGATGTAAAAATAGTAATGAGATGTTTTAGATTCTTTGGTTTTCATCACATCTTTGAAGTTTGGTGTGTATTTTATAGCACATTTGGACTAGCCATATTTCAAGTGCTCAATTGCCACATGTGGCTACTGGCTACAGAATTGGACAGTGCAGCTCTGGAGGTTTCTGTTCCTGGGACTCAGTGAGGGACTTACCTTGGTCTCCTCTGAGGACCAGCAGCATTGCTATTATTCAGAGTTGATGAGTTCTGAGAGTGGGACATAATTTCCAGGAATATCTGTCCCAGACTCCTAGAGACAGTCTGTGTATGTCTTAGTAATGAAGAGGGATTGGTTTTCAGTGTAGTCTGTGCCATCACCTTCTTTTGTGTTTTTTCTTGGCAGGTGCCTCATCTCCAGACATGGAGCCCAGCTATGGGGGAGGTCTCTTTGACATGGTGAAAGGAGGTGCAGGAAGGCTTTTTAGTAACCTAAAGGACAACTTGAAAGACACCCTCAAAGACACATCGTCTAGAGTTATACAATCTGTTACCAGGTATGAACATCCTTCCTGGTTAACTTAGTGGACTCCTGGGCCCCCAAAGGATCTGGTTACCTGCCAACTGCTTGTGTGGCTCAAAGAGTATCAATTTTGTGATATAATTTCATAGGATTTGATCAATTGAGAAATGTCATTGCAGACATAAAGTAAAGTCCTTTAGAAGCTACAAGCACAGGCTGGGGCGACTCAGCTCATTATACATTAGAGGATAGTGGTTGCCATCCCTGGCTTTAGAATCAAACATCCTGGGTTCTAGTGCAATATCTGCCTTTGTTAACCATGTGACATAAGGCAAGTTAATTAACCTCTCTGATCTTTATGTTTGTACCCTGATAGGATTTGTGTCTTTGGGTAGTTTGAGGATTAAATGAAATAATAATTCACATGCAATCTGAATAAGAAATACCTATGGATTACAATCAAAACAGAACTTTTTTTTATCCTTCTAGCCCTTTAAAATTTATTCAGTGGGAGAAGTTTTCTACTCTTCTACTGTATGAAAATTCTTACAAGCAGGCCATGTGAATTATTTTTTATTTGTAGCTATAAGAAAATTCTAGAGTCACTTTAAGTTACAATATGCAGTTTTGAATCAGAAAATAAAAAGTCTAGTCCAACGTGTTAATCAACATTTTAATCTTTGTTCAAAGGTAAAATTTACCCTCACCTCTGGTTCCCACCCAGGGTCTGGTAGGCTAAAAAAGGGTGTCCCTTGTTGTTTTTCAATCATTTCTTCCCCTAATCCTTAGATGTTCACAATTATGGGAGATATTTCCATGTAGGCCAAGAGGGTGGGACAATCAGTGTTAATAAAGAAGCAGTGTTTTCTCTTCTGAGATTGATTCTATTCATGAAGTAGAATCTACAAAGGCATTGGGATGCACCTGTTGGATGATATATTTATACCCCCAAGGTGTAGGCTGTCTTCTCCCAACAACTTTGCTATAGAGAAGGACTTGAGGGCAGTCAAAATATGCCTATTGGACAGAAGTATCCCAGCTCATGATGTGAAGTGATTGAGAGAGAGAAATCTTGGCATAATTGAATAATTTTTTTTTCCTTTTTGTCTTTTTTACTGACCGGTAACGGGATCGCAACCCTCGGTGTCGCGCCCGCACCGGGGACTGGCAATGGGATCGCAACCCTCGGTGTTGCGCCCACACCACGCTCAACCAGTGAGCGGGAACCAGTCTCCACATGGGATCCGAACCCTCGGCGGGAGCGCCACCGCGCTCCCAGGCGGTGCGCCACCGGGCTGGCCCCCTAATTGAATAATTTTAATGAGTATTCTTTCCTATCTCACTTTTAGCTATACAAAGGGAGATTTAGACTTCACTTATGTTACCTCCAGAATTATTGGTAAGTTTCTTATGTTTATTAATATCTCTTTGGTTCAGCTTTCAGTTGCTGCCCGTTGCAACAGCAGACTTGTTTAACCTGTTTTCTTTCCATGTGACTTCTCCTAGTGATGTCCTTTCCTCTGGACAGTGTTGACATAGGATTCAGGAATCAGGTTGATGACATTCGAAGCTTTTTGGATTCCAGACATCTTGACCACTACACAGTGTACAATCTGTCACCCAAGTCTTATCGAACTGCCAAGTTTCACAGCCGGGTAAGGAATTTTAGCCTTGGAAGTGCACTGTTAAAGACATAAAAGGGTATTTTTCCTCTTGAGCAATATCCTCAAAGGCTTTGCCCTTAGGCACATGAATCTGAAAAACTATAAACTCTGGACACTTCTATCCACAAAATATTTATTAGTCTCTTATGAGATATTCTGAAGATTTTCCTTGGAGGACAATATTTATATCTGTCAGTGTTTTGTGCATCTTATGTTGGGGTCTCAAATCCTGGTGGCTTGTTGCTCCTTGGCACATTGTTCATGAGGCTCAAATTGGTGATTGAATTGCTGTGTAAGGGAGTGGGCTACCCTTGTACTGTAACACTAATTATGCCTTTCACTCTTTCTTATTGCTACTTGGGCATCACAATGAAGCAGTGTGTCTAGACTAGTAGAGACACACCAGTATTAATGGGAATATATTTCTGACATTCAATAAAGTTGCCTCTTTTGCAAGTGAAGGGCAGCATGTAAACAGTCCACACCATAGGTTTGGTAATACTATTACTAATATTAATAATAGTGAGAGCAACAGTTAACATTACCAGAGCATTTATACTGTGCCGAGGAGTTTACATGCTGTTTCACATTTAATTCTCTCAACAGTCTTCTGAGGTAGATGGAGAGACTGAGGCACAGAGAGGTAAGGTAGCTTGCCCAAGACCACACAACTAGTAAGTGGCTTAAGGCTTGTGTTATTAACTATTATCCTGGGCTGACAGTATTACTTGGAAAAGCTGAATTATCATTTTAAGGAATTTTTATACTAGGCAGAAAAATATTCCTAGTTTCAGGCTGGTTAAGGAACTATGAGAGCTGGCTTCTGTTTGAATCTGATGTGGAGCTTGATATTTCTGGACAGTGAATTCTTGATTTACTCACTAAAATAAAGCTTTTTCTTTTTCAAGAACACTTTCAGATATTTTTGACTTAGCCTTTAGATATGATTGATTCTGCAGCTTCCTCTGGGTCTTTTAAAAAATAGAAAGGGCTTTCTCACATGGACCCTTTAAAAGTGAAATGATTTCAAATATGCAAAATGATAGCTGGTTGTCAGAGTTGTGTATCTAGAATCTCAGTTTTGATGCTGGAGTATATTTTGCTCCAAATTCCAGTTGCCATTGATAATCTCTAGGCCTCAGTTTCAAGATCTGTAAAACACACAAGGACGTTGGTCTATATGCTTTCTAAGACCCTTTTCTGCCTTAATGTTCAATAAGAGATGGGAGAGTTTTGTTAAAGACTGTTTTTTTCAGCATGTTCTGAGAACAAAACTTTAGTCTGCATCAGAATCCCTTGGAGGGCTTGTTAAACACATATTTTTGATTCAGCAGGACAGGGGTAGGGGGAAAACTGCATTTTTAACAACTTCCTGGGTGCTGTTCCTGCTGTTGCTGTGGGGACCACTCTTTGAGAAGCACTGAGAAAACTATTCTGAAGTGGTTTGATCTAAATTGCTAGTCTATATGGCAATTATGGAGATTTTAAATGCAGCTCTTTAAAATCCACTGTAGTAAGCTAACCTCCCAACTCTTATTCCATCTATTACCTAATTCAGAGAAAGAGAATTAACATCAAATAAAAATGTGGATAGATATTCTGTTTCTAATGCAAATCTTTTGAATTGATTTTTTTGTTGTTGTTTAGAGACTTAGTGCCATTATTTTCATTATTGAAGGACTGTAGAACAGTCTGCACAGTATTCCTAGATATTTTATTTGATCTTGAAAGAACTGTGATAGTCTAGAACATTTTCCTTCCAAAATAAATATACAATATATAAATAAAGATATCATATCATCATAGAAACACTCACCCATATGAAGATGTCTGTTTGTACAGTTTTTTCAAAAAGCAATCTCTATAGAGATATCTTTAAAGAAAGGCATCTATTAGTGTAACTAAAGATTTTGTGACTGGGCCTAGTTCACTGAGGAACGAGGAATTAAATATTGAGTACTACCCTGGTCTGCTCTCACTTGTCTTCTAAGAGCAGGGAGCATGTTTATTTTATTTGATACCTAGAACAATGCCTGGCATGGCTAATAAATATTTCTTAAAAGAATGAATATGTCAATAATTGTTAGACACTGTACATATAAAAAATATTTGGTTCGTGTTCTCAAGGCACTTAAGCCTAGTTAGGGAGAGAACCCAGGACATTCTAAAGGCAAGTGCAAATGATATTTACAATACCTGCTGAGGGAGATTAGTGAAGGGAGATAGCAGTGATAGCTGGACCTTAAAGCGGAGTAAGGCTTGTATAGGTGAAAGGAGTGGGGTCATTTCTGTCCCTGTGAATTGTAGCATGTGTCTTACGTGGCTCTTCATGATCTGGTCTCTACCTGCCTTTCCAGCTTCATCGTTTACTGTTCTTCAGAAAACTCCATGCTCCAATCAGGGATGCATACACATGTGTGCACACACATGAAGACATATACACACAGACACACATGCACATACACATGTGCCATCTCTTTGCATGAGATGCTCCTTCTCCCCAAAAAGCTATCCATGCTGCATACCCTCCATTTCCTTCTTTGTTGGCCTAACTTCAATAGGGAAGGATTTCTAGATGCCACAAGGCTTTTCCAATTCTTTCCCCTAAAACACAGGATTGCACTACATCTTTAGTCCTTCCCGAATAGTCCCAGAACTTGTCAGAGTGGAACTGGACCCTCTGACCTGTCTCCCTCAACCCTCAGTTGCATCTCAGGAAGACAGTCCCAAAGCCTTAGAATTTTCATCTTAGTTCTGTTTTTGATATGCACATTTCTTTTCAAGCCCCTAGAACTTTCTCTCCCCAGCACTAACACTGTGAATTGATTTGCATCTCATCGTTGTATTACTTAGAAGAGTTTTCTTGGTTCTCACTTTCCAGTCCATGAGGGACTAGAACCATTTCTTCTTCCTTCCAATTCAGTGGAGTGCTAAGTCTGCAATTAAACCTTATTCTAATAAATATAGATGACTGAGTTTTCCATACATACCAGTGTTGGAAAAGACCAAACATGGGACCGGTTTTATTTACAGGCTCACAAGAGCCTAGCTCTGTCTACATTGTATCTCTGTGCCTTGAAACCTGAATTAAGTCACTTCACACTTTGATTATGTGGTTGTTTGTGTATATGGGTATGCAAGTGATGATGGCAGAGACAGGCTGTTTCCAGGCAGATTTTATTTTGCTGAGGGTCATCATTCTGTGTTTTTATTAGCTTTTATGCTTAGAAGCATCATGGGTTGACAGGAATCATGAAATAATCACATAGCAGTTTTCCAATTATTTGCATATGTAACAGGATGTTACAATAGGACTCTCTGTTTAGTCTCTGTTTTTTTTTTTTTTCCTTTTTGTCTTTTTTCATGACCGGCAACGGATCGCAACCCTCAGTGTCGCGCCCATACCGGACCAGGACCGGCAACGGGATCGCAACCCTCGGTGTTGCGCCCGCACCTCGCTCAGCCAGTGAGCGGCCGGTCTGTATGTGGGATCCGAACCCTCAGCGGGAGCACCGCTGCACTCCCAAGCGGCGCACTGTAGCAGTGCGCCACCGGGCCGGCCCCTTTAGTCTCTGTTTTGATTTGGATCCTTTGCTTTTTGAGGATCCAAGCCAAAACAGTACATGGCAGATAGCCCCACACTCAAAGTGAGGTGCTAGAATACCTACCTAGGAGGTATATAATGTCAGTTTTTTTTGTCTCTTCATAGCCAGTATCCACCTTAAGGATATAAAAGTACTGATGCTGATGGTGAAGTCCTGGAGACCAGTGAAATGTGTCATCTAAACCACATGTTCTTAATCTGAGTTATAAAGACCCACAGACCCATTGTGTATTTAGATCTATTGGTGGGCTTCAGAGAGTTTAACCATCTGCTTCCACTCCTTTTAAAAAACTTTTTGTGGTAAAATATATGTAATATCAGCTTATCATCTTAATTATTTGCAAGTGTACAATTCAGTGGCATTAAGTACATTCACAATGTTGTGTAACCATTACCTCTATCTATACTCAGACCTTTTTCACCATCTCCAGCATGAACATTGTACCCATCCACTGGGGTGTGTGTGTGTGTGTGTGTGTGTGTGTGTGTGTACACTGGTTCAGTGTCTGCACAGAAGGTTTGTAGCTACAGCCCAGAATATCAGGAACCACTGCATTACACATGTGTTGGCATAGCTGTTGGCAATAAATGGAGAATTGGGTGAATGGACACCAGGTCTAAGCTGGCCCTAAAGTTCTTAAGTTTTTTTTTTTTTTTTTTTTTGTGACCGGTAAAGGGATTGTAACACTTGGCTTGGTGTCGTCCGCACCGCGCTCAGCCAGTGAGTGCACCGGCAATCCCTATATAGGATCCGAACCCAGGGCCTCGGCGCTCCCAGCGCCGCACTCTCCCGAGTGAGCCATGGGGTGGGCCCCCAAGGTTCTTAAGTTCTGACTAATGCTATTCTGGTGCTACTTTGACCCCCCTCTCTCTGGCGAACCAGGAAGGACAGTATGATGAAGGAGCACTGTTAATAGCATAGAAACCAGTAGCCCAGCTGGATCTTTCAGACTGTTCCTTTATGTTGACTATTTCTAAACCACATCATCTTGTAGGATTTCTTTCCCTTTGAGAACAACTTGATTTTTGGAAAATATATTATCAACTTGGGCTTCTTAAAAGGCTCATGATTGAAGGTCAGTATTTTTCCCCTTTTTCTTTCCAGAGCTCACCAGAAAGGTCACTATATCTGTCTGCTGTTTCTGCTTTGGTTCGAGGTAGGTGAGGGAGTTTGGCTGCAGAGGAGTGACCTCGCAGCTCGTACTCCATCTCTCCCTCTGCCAGCATGCACCAGTGTAAGGGCAGGAAACAACTGGGTAGAAAAACAATCCCTGGCCTCTGAGCCAGACCGTAGACCAGGGATTCTCACATTCTAGTTATGAAGTCTTCTGTGAATGGAATGTCTTAACCTTGGTAAAATACAGCCATCACTTGAAGCTGTAACTACCCCACAAATACAAGATGGGATTATTGTTAATAATCAATCAACAGACAGCATAGTATAATGTGGAGTACACACATTATTATTATTTTTTTATTCGGATGAAATCATGTAATATGCACAAATTTTAAACTTTAAAAATTACCCTTTATTCATATCTCAGCTGTTCTTCTTCCTGGGCAAGTCACTTTGTCTCTTCTTGGACTCAGTTTTCTCTTACGTAAAATGGGGATGACAATAAGAGCACCTGTTGTATAAGTACCGTTAGAAAATTTTTCTGTAGGTTTGTTGTAAGGAATAAATTTGATGGCAGTGTCTGGCTTAGAGTCAGCATTCAGTCAGTGGTAGCTATGATTAACATTGGTATTAATAACATACCCCAATTAAATGATTGACCAAAATATCCCTGGCCTCCAGAAATGGTGTGAGATTCTTAAAAGATTGTATATGGCACTTTAGTCTGATTCTCTGTAGCATCTTTTGTGCTTCTGCTCAGCAAGTGGGATGCTTCTGCCATCCTGTCTTGTGCTGCGGGTGATGGAGAGATGAAAATTGAATGGCATCCAGCCCTGGTGACGTTTTGGCCTCCTTTCCCACCGGGTGGTATCATGGCAGCCTTGTAATCCATATGGTGTTCATTCAGGGACACTGTAGATGACATTGTGAAGTGTCACATACCCAAGGATTGTGCTTATTCCATGAAGCTGTGAACCCCAGAGAGCTACAAAAACAGCTTGCAGTGATTGAATTTCTGCTTTTATTTTTATTTTTGGTTTTGCTTATCCTTTAATGTTTTCCCCTTTTAGACAGAGCACATGCTTTCAAAAAAATTCTAATTGTATGTTTGCTTAATGGTGTATAATTATATATCAAGTAAATATGTAATTATGGAGTACTTTAAATTAATATTATTTGCTTGATTGATTTAATGATTCTGGAGTTATTAGCCTATTGTGCTAAGAACAATTTAGCCAACTTTTAGCCGAGGGTCATTATAGATATTGACATTTGGGGTAGGTATGTGTAACATACAGTTTTTAAAACCTTAAAAAATATTGCCTGGGAAAACAAATTTCCTATACTTTTACTCTGTTGCAATCTAAAATAATAAGAAAAACAACAAAATTGATTCACCTTTTCTTTCCTCAAGATATTGTACATGTAGACAGTCTTACTACAAAGAGATTACCAAATGTGGTTCATTCCTTTATTCTTTCATTCATTCATTCACTCAGCAAATACCTACTGAGCAATTGCCACAAGAGTAACACATGGACACTGGGTTACAAAAACAAATAAGTTATGCCTCTCTTCTCATGCATCCCAGTGTCTAGAGCGGGAGACAGATATAAACAGTTAATTCAATATAGCTTGACAGTAAGCTAGCACTCACTGTGTTTGTGTTGTGCTACTTAATTCTCACAACAATCTTATAATACCCAGTTGCACCATCATCCCTTCCATAAACTCCACACCAACCTTCCGACTGGTCTTCCTGCCTTTAGTCTCTTGTCATCCACCTCCGTTCTCCATGCTGGAGCTTGAGAGATCTTTGGAAAATGGAGATCTAAGAGTTGCTCTCCTTCTTAAATATTCTCCAGCTCTCTAACAAAGCCCTGGATCATTCTGGGTCCTTCACTCTGCACTGTTGACATACAGGGATTCATTCATTTTTTTTTTTAACATAACTGGTTCTATCTGACCTCAGTGCTTTGCATTGGCAGTTGCCTGGGGGGAAAAATTGCTAAATTTATTGGTCACTTTGTGTGTGTCAGATACTGAGTTAAACCCCTGAAGTAGATTCTCATGTAACGTCCACAGCTCTGTGAGGAATATATATAGGTACCATTTACCACGTTTTATGGAGAAAGGCTTAAGGAGGTAGTGAAGTTTGCCCAAATCTAAGCTTTTCCTTATTGTTTTTTTGGTTAAATTAGCAAATATCTAATCATTTGGAGCTTGTACCTAGTCTTTTGAGGCAAATGATAGTCTCAACCAATAGGCTGGTGTAGCACAAAGATTTATGAGGGTACTTCAAAAAATTCATGGAAAGGGCCGGCCTGGTGGCGCACTGCTACAGTGCGCTGCTTGGGAGCGCGGCGGCGCTCCCACTGAGGGTTTGGATCCCACATACAGACCGGTTCCCGCTCACTGGCTGAGCGAGGTGCGGGCGCGACACCAAGGGTTGTGATCCCATTGCTGGTCCCGGTCCAGTACGGGTGCGACACTGAGGGTTGCGATCCGTTGCCGGACACGAAAAAAGACAAAAAAAAAAAAAAAATTCATGGAAAGATTTGCATTAATTTTTAATTCTATTTTCCCATGAACTTTTTAAGTACACTCGTATATTCAAGAAGACCTGGGCTGCAGTGCTGGTACTGACCAGCAGAGTGACTTTGGACAAGGCAACCTCTGAGAGTCAGTTTTCTCATCTGCAGATGGGGATCATATGAATACTTGTCTTGTGTGATTGTTGCATGGATTAGAGCCAAGCAACATTCCTAGAACACAGCTGAGGCTTTATAATGTGTTAAACGAATATGTGTGTTAAATGAATGAAAATGCCAAAGGTTGCCCCTGTGAATTGTGTCCCTTCATAAAAAGAAAAAAAAAAAAAAAAAAGATCCATGCACATGCCTGCCTTTGGCTCATTCTGTAGTACTTTTCATGTTATCATGAGGGCTTAGATAAAATTAGGGATATTGTAGGATTTATAAGCTAATCCTACAATTAAGCATCTAGTAGGCAGGTCAAAACATTTTATACTCAACAGAAATTAAATTCTGTGTAATTTCACAGAATAGAAGAAAATCCAAATATGTAGTTTAAATGATCTAGTTTAATTTAAAATGTATTTCAACATATGTTTTCATACCTTTACTAAAACAGAATTCTTTAATTTAATTAAATTACTGTGTTAAATACCTCTTCTTTCTGCATTTGGACCCTGTTCTCAATTCTTCCTGGCTATGTTAAAAGAGGATGTGGAATTGTTTGGTGTGATACCTGCTTATGGAGAGGCAATGGCTGGGAGGATTCATTTCTTTTTGCTGTGTTCCCTTAGGTCTCAGAATGCAGTTGGCCCATCAGGCAGGCTCCCAGTCTGCATAACCTCTTTGCTGTGTGTCGGAATATGTATAACTGGCTGCTACAGAATCCCAAAAATGTCTGTGTTGTCCACTGCTTGGTGAGTAAACTTTGTTGTTAGTGGGAGTGGTTTGGTTTGGTCAGATATGGATGGCCCTTTATAGAATGGTGGTCAGGTAACATTTGAGTTTAGTAGGATTTATTGAGCCCCTACTCAGGAGTTAAGTAATGTGAGAGATATAAAAACAAGAGAGGAGTTTATTATTTTTGGCGTAAAGCTTGAGTACTGGTGGGAGAGGCAAATGTGTACACAACCCACCTAATGTGAGGACTCTAGAATGTGCCAAGTATTATAGAATAGGTAGCACACAGAGCTGTGGGTACACAGATAATAATGTCACTGAGTTTTACATGAATAAAATAGACATAAACATATTGGCATATTTTTTTTCCTGGCTGTGTCTGAGTAGAAGTAAAAGAAAAACACGTCTATGCCCTTGTATGTAGTTACATAGATTGACTGTATTTTAGAGCAGTTCCCAGTGGGACTGGCGATTTTTCTGACCATTGACTTTCTAGTGTCCCTTTCCCCAACTTTTCCTCTCAGGCCTCTTACCTGTCCTTTAAAACTCAATTTTCAGTAAAATCTTTCTGACTCTTTTGAGTATTTTCATGATATGGATATTCCCACTGTGTATCTAAATGTCTTCTATGGCATTTCATATACTGCAGCCTAATAATCTGTTCTCCTGCCTATTTTCCCACTAGACTATTATCCTCCTGCAGGAAAGAACTGTGTACTTTTACACCCTAAGCATGAAAGGTCTGAATAAGTGCTGGAATACATGACAAATGAATACACACATGGAATCTGAGTATAGATACTGGAAATATTCATTGCTTTTATAAACCTCAGAGTGTATTTTTTTTTTGCCATAATATTTCTTGATGATTCCCCCCACCCCACACCCCTTATTGAGGGCCAGTGTCTGAAACAGAAGAAAGCTGAAGAACATTTTTTCCCCTAAACTCTTGGCAATAAAGGAAAAATACCTGGTGTTTGTAGGAATTTAATGTTAAAGGCCAAAGTGTTTTTCTTTTAGAGGCACAACAGATTATGCAACAGAAAATATTTCTTTTAGGGACTACATAGGCTTGGGGTACTTTGGTGATTTTCTCTTTACTCAAGAATTTTCTAAAAGTTCTACATCTGACAATTGTGTAGGCGAGGATGGCTCAAGAGAGACCAGAGGCACCCAGTTCTAATGATATAATTGTAAAGAATAAAAACCCAATAAAAAAGAAAAAAGAAGAGGCAAAGTATTATGGCTCTACAGGGTGCTCTTGAGTTTCACTTAAAAGACATGTGAGTGCGGGCCGGCCCGGTGGCGCACTGGATAGTGCACCGCTTGGGAAGCGCGGCGGCGCTCCCGCCCGAGGGTTCGGATCCCACATACAGACCGGTTCCCGCTCACTGGCTGAGCGCGGTGCGGGAGCAACACCGAGGGTTGCAATCCCGTTGCCGGTCCCCGGTCCGGTGCGGGGGCAACACTGAGGGTTGCGATCCGTTGCCGGACACGGAAAAAGACAAAAAAGACAAAAAAAAATAAAAAATAAAAAAAAAAAACATGTGTGTGAATTGGAAGTCTATGCCAAGTCTCTGGGAACAGAATTGAAACAAGGGGTGGCAGCCTTTATTTTTATCCTATATATGCTACAGTTATATTAAAAATAATATGTATATATTAGTCTTTTAATTAAAAAAACCTTTAAAAAAACCTGCATGACAGATAAAAGGAAGGGACACATATCCAAGAGCCATGGATCTGTTGAAAGAGTGTCAGGGAAATTAAATTCTAAAAAGAGTTAAGATTGAGAAAAGTGTCTTTTTTTTTTTCCTTTTTGTCTTTTTTACTGACCGGCAACGGGATCGTAACCCTCGGTGTTGTGCCTGCACCGCGCTCAACCAGTGAGCGGGAACCGGTCTCCACATGGGATCCGAACCCTCGGCGGGAGCGCCGCCACGCTCCCAAGCGGTGCACTCTCCAGTGCGCCACTGGGCCGGCCCAAAAGTGTCTTTTTTTAAAACTGTGTTCGGAATAAAGACAACAGCAAGTTCTTGAGGCATGTGATATAATTTTAACACCTTTATTCTGTTTTCTTTATCCGGGGACAAATGTCAAGCTAGAAATGAGGTAACAATGAAAATTAAGACAAAGCTGATAGGTAGCAAGATAGTAAGAGAGCCTCAGAGTCTTTAAAAGTAATCCACTCTCTAGACTTACATTATGTGGCAGAATGCTGAAAGCACTTGCAGATGCAATTTTGTATTCCCTACGTACTGTGAGGAAACAAGAAGCAGAGGTGCCAGGCAAGTGAAGAGCAGGGGTTTTCTCAAAAGATGGAGCAGGTTGATCCTGGAAAGTTATAGGCCGATGAGCCCGATGGCAATTCAAGGCAAAATTCTAATAAATTTTTGCACAGATGATTTTAAACTCTTGGAAAAAAAGAAATCCACTTGTTTCATTATGAACACACTGAACATTTTGCAACAAGAGTGATAGACTAGTTGAGATGGTTTATTGGATTCCTGCAAGATTGAGTGAGGAAAAAACATAAATTCACATTGTTTTTTCCTCTGCTCTGTCACAGCACAATCATCAACACAGGAGACAGGCCTTTGACTTCTGTGATCTAATGTGTAGCAGTTTCTCCCCACCAGCAAGCAAGCCAGTAATTCTCCAGTGGAAACCAGCTGGATGTCCTCTAATTCAATTCTGACACTACCTACCTGGAGATGGCTTCAGATCCCATAGGTTGAGGGCTCAGTCCCCAAGACTGCCCCCCACCTCAGATGTCAGATGCAAGCGCTAGGTTATTTTACCTGTTCTTAAGACCCCCTCTTTTGGGTTCAATAGATTTGCTGAGCGGTTCATGGAACTCAGGGAAACACTTACTTACATTTACCTATTTATTGTAAAGGATATTACAAAGGATACAGATGAAGAGATGCATAGGGTAAGGTATGCGGGTAGGTGTGCAGAGCTTCCATGCCTGCCCAGGAATGCCAACCTCCAGGAGCCTCCATGTGTTCAGCTATCCAGAAGCTCCCAGAACCCATGCCTCTTGACTTTTCATGGAGTCCTCATTAGGAAGGCATAATTGATTAAATAATTGGCCACTGGTGATCAGCTTGATCTTCAGTTTTTCTCCACTCCCCAGAGGTTGGGGGATGGGGCTAAAAGTCCTTCTTTGGTCTTTCCTGCGACCAGTCCCCATCTTGAAGCTACCTAGGGGCTGCCAGCCAATAGTCAACTCTTTAGCATACAAAAAGACAGCATTTTGGAGATTCTAAGGATTTTAGGAGTTGTGTGCCAGGAAAGGGATGGGGACAAAGACCAAATAATATTTCACAGTATCACAGAGATATTTCCTGGTTTCTTATAATCAAGAAAGAGAAATCTGGGATAAGTTGTTATATATTTAGTTGGATTGTGGCTGAATATCTGCTTCCAAAGGTAGGTGACTAATGGATCAGCATCTTCCTGAGAGAAGGTTTCATTTGGCTGCCCTTTTAATCAACAGCTTTGATGAACATGAGGAGGTCAAGCTTATCAGTTTTCTCCAAATGGGAAGGGTCACATAATGAATCTGGATTTGAAAAGTTCTTGTAGGTTGATCATTTAATAGAAACTAAGAATGTGAAAATTAAATGCAGGGTAAATGTACAGTCCTGAATTCTGGTTCTAAAAGATTAAACATATTTGTCTACTAGTGTAACAGATAATCTGAAAAAGAACTAGGGGTTTTAGTGGATAGAGAGATCAATAAGGGCTTATGGTGTGACTTCGCCTGTATTTATACTAGTTTGGCCTCAGGTTATGTTAATAAAATTATAGTGTCCAGACTAAGGAAGATGAAATTCTGCTCTAGTCTGGTCAGAATGCATCTCATATCTTACATTTCACATCTGGGCAGCACATTTAAGGTGGTTGTTTTAAAACTTGAGTATGTTTAGAGGAAGTGTACTAAATGATGATGTCTCATAAAATGGAATAGAAAATGAGAAAGAATTGAAGTGATTAGGTTTGTTTAAATGGGAAATAGAAGTGTTGATAGAAAAGGAGGATATTTTAGATATGGGAAGGGCTGACAGAGAGAGAAAGTGTTACCGAACCAAGAGGAGTTCCTCATCTGCTACCCAGATGACTAAGAAGTTTCTCATGCCAAAGATCACAGTGTTAAAGATTAGTATGTATTTGGATGGCTATTCAAAAAAGCCTGTGGTAGCTAAAGGACCTTTAAGTCTCCAGACTCCCTGAAGGCTTAAAATCACAGCTAAGATCCTCCTTGGTTCCTTTGAGTCTGAGGGCGTGCAAACTTCAAAGCAGGTTTGTAGCAGCAGGTGTTCTGCAAAGACAACTCAAGATTGGTATTACAGATGTTATCCTAAGCCATAAGGCATTCATTTAAGGAACAAACATCTTGACCTTTAAATCAAAGCTTAGCCTAAGGAACAAGCATCCTGACTTCCAGATCAAGTCTTAGCCTAAGTAAGTTTATATATTTTGTCAACTCTACTCTTATTATTGCTGCTCCTAGGAATTCAGCCTGTCCTTCCCGGTCAAGCAGTTTTTCTTTAGTTATTTCCTTCTCCCTCCAGTCAAGTCCCACTCTGACAAGGGTTGGGGGATCAGCCAGGGGAAATCAGAGGTCTGTTCCCTGGTTTCAAAAGGAGTAGGTTTATTTTTTGTTCTCACAGAAGGAAGGGTGAGGATCATTGAGTGGAAGCTATGGAGGACTAGACTTTGACTCAACATACTCAGTGTAAGGAAACACCTTGTAAACTGGTGTGGGCTACTTCAAGTAGCAGTAGTCTCCCTGTTCACTTAAAAGTATTCTGGAAAAGGCTGGATCACCATCTGTCAGGACTGTTATTGTATACTGTTTCAGTCAGCTCTGGCTGCTCTAACAAGTATACCATAGACTGGGTGGCTTAAACAACATAAATTTACTTCTCACAGTTTTGATGTCTGGGAAGTTCAAGGTCAAGGTGCCTGCATTTCCAGTGTTTGGTGAGGGCCCGCTTCCTGTGTGGCAAATAGCTGTCTTCTCCTTGTATCCTCACATGGCCTAGAGCAGAGAGAGAGCAAGCTGTTATGTCTCTTCTTATAAGAGCACTGATCCCGTAAATGAGAGCTCTACCCTCCAGATCTAATTACCTCCCCAAAGTTTCACCTCCTAATATTATCACATTGGGGGTTGGGATTTCAACATATAAATTTGGGGGGGGGGGTGGATACAGAAACATCCAGTCCATACCAGATTTATTCTTACATTGAGTGAGGTTGAATCAAGTGAAGCTTCTTTAATTTATGTGAATCTAGGAACATACTTTGGGTAAAATACATACATAGTGTATTCCATCAAGCAGCATTTTCCTAAACCAAGAGACCTCAACTATTAGTTCTGATGCTACAAGTCCAAAGTTACTTTGAAGATTATATTATTGTTCAATAAATATATGCAAATCAAATTAATTTTGCTAGGCTTCTAAGGTGAATACAGAATCAATTTTATCCTAATAATAAGCCTTTCCTTGCTTCTTTGTGATTTAAATAGCTGGTAAAGATTTTGGTTTTCAAGTGAACAATTCTGAAATGAAAGCCACCCCCAGTTAAGAGGCTTTCTCCTCTCTCTCTCTTTTAATTGCATTCTCAATGGAGAATGGCTGATTTGACCAAGTTCATGATAAGTTTATGCATTTTCTTTGACAGGATGGACGGGCAGCATCATCAATTCTGGTTGGTGCTATGTTCATTTTCTGTAATCTCTACTCTACTCCTGGCCCAGCTGTTCGATTGCTATATGCAAAGCGTCCAGGAATTGGACTTTCACCATCCCACAGGAGGTAAAGTAAGCTAGGTGCAGGGTAGGCAAATGTGTTCTTATTGGTCATGTTCTGTTTGAAATCTGCCTGATAGGTGCTTTCATAACTTTCATTTAATTTATCTGGCATTATCCTGAATTATAGCAAAAAACTGAATTCAGCGTGGATATTGAGTTTTCATACAGTTTCATAAGCCCCTGTATGAGAATTTATGATTTTAAAATTAGAAGGAAACTTTAAAGAATACTATGTCCACTTTCCTTTATAGGTAAGGAAACTGAGACTCAGGTTGTGATTTGCCCCAGGTCTAAAAATTCCTAATTCCTGATCCAAAGCTTTAAGACCAGTTCCTTTTTGTTTGGTTATACAGGTCTTTATTGAAAAACAAGCAGAAGCTGCTACTCTTACTACTGACGATCACCCCGTGGGGGACATGATTAACAAAAAGAAAAGCAACTATATAGAAATAAGTTTTAAAATTCACTTTTTCTTATGACTCTGATATAGGAATAAGAAAATAGATTACAAAAGATAATCTGAAAGTAGCTTAAAAAAGAAAATCCTTTTTAGATAACTGATTTATTTTCTTTCCTTTAGTCACAGTTTCTTTTTCCTATTTTGATTGCATCTTCTTATGTTTTTGGATTAAAAGTGCTTTTGATGGTAAAATTCTAAAATTTATTCAAAGCCAGGTTTTAGCTGATAAATTTAATCTGCTAGATAAAACAGGAATAGATGTTTAAATATTGAGCTAGTGAAAGCTTCCATAAGCTTTTTGATTTAATAAGTATGCCATCTACAGTTCTTTAGGGTAGTACAGTAATATCAGTAGGTAAATATTCTAAATTATTGGTTGCATTCCCTTTTGCTAGTCAGTGTTTAAGAAATTAACAGATTGCATTCTTATCGTAACTCAATAATTTGCAAGAACAAACTTCATAGCAAAGATTGATTGTTTCTCCTGGTGTGATGGAACCCAAAACATGTGGCAATTGTCTGTTTCAGATACCTGGGATATATGTGTGACCTACTAGCAGACAAACCCTACCGCCCTCACTTCAAGCCTCTCACGATTAAGTCAATCACTGTCAGTCCAATACCTTTTTTTAACAAACAGAGAAATGGGTGTCGTCCTTATTGCGATGTACTGATTGGAGAAACCAAAATATATACCACTTGTGCAGATTTTGAACGAATGAAGTAAGTCATACTTTTCTTCACTTCTGTGCACTGCTCAATTCCTTTGTAAGTTGGATCATATTCTTCCTGCAAGACTATATCATTGTGAAATGGCTGATATAAAAAAGAAGTTCAACATCAGAGGTAATTATAGGAAAGCATAACTAAATTAGTAGATGCCATGGCTCCTTTTCAAATCCAATGGTGATTTAGACTAAGGGACTAGCATGAGCTAAAATGAGGGGTATGACAGTAGTGAGGGACAGACCTGGGCATTTAAGAAGGAGATGGCCTTGATGGGATTTGGTTAGGATAATGGAAGAGTCAAGGATGAATCAGGTTTCTAAGTGAGGAACTAGGTAGATGGTGATGGAATTAAAGTTATAGAATCCATAGTAAAGAGCGGCTGCTAGTGGGAGGTTTTAGGGGTATGTGGAGAGAAGTAAGTGGGTGGTAACATACAATGAAATTAGTTTGGAATAAGTTGAATTTGTGAACTGGTATTGAAGACCATCACAGAGCGTGGCATTTCTGATTTTATGCTGATTTCAGTTGGATTTTTTGTTCCCTTTATCTCCGCTTTTACTATTAATTTAAGGTTAGAAAAAAGGCGAATATACAAGGGCTAGATGAATTTGAGGAAAACAAGTGATCTTTAAAGCAGGGATGGGCAATTGCACTAGCTGGAAGTCCAGATGGTATGGAAAGAGAGGGCCTGGCATCAAACCAATGCCCGCCCCCTTGCAGGACCAGTTTGCATCCAGTTGACACTAACGTGACTCCTCTTTTTTCTCAAGGTAGGAAATGGTTTCTGAGTCCAGGCCTGGGCAAACAGGTCTCTTGGCCAGAGCCATAGAGGTCTATACCACCTGTGTCTATGTGATTGTGCCAGATTGGATTCTCTTTCAGTGTCTCACATCTTTTTTGTTTCTGTTTAAAGAGAATACCGTGTCCAAGATGGAAAAATCTGCATTCCCTTGAACATCACTGTGCAAGGAGATGTAGTCGTTTCCATGTATCACTTGAGGTCAACCATTGGAAGCCGGCTGCAGGCTAAGGTACAGTTTCAGGAAAAATCATGGCATAAGCTCATCTGAGACTTTAATAGGAATATTTTTGAATCTTTTGTCCAAATCTTTAAAAATTTTATAGAGGAAGAAACTAAGACTTGGAGGTGTTGTGACTTGCTCAAATTCCTTGGCATGATGACTGTGTGAGAGGGTGGCAGCTCTAGAACTTTTAGCAAATTATGCTCTTTAGAAGTTTGTGCTTTTCTTATAGTGTCCCATTCGGATAAGTGTAAGCAGAGAGATTTCTACTAAAGATGTGGAATTAAATAATCATTATTTTTTTCAATTTTTTTTAACTGAGATAAAATTTACGTAACATAAAAGTTACCCTTTCAAAGTGTACAATATAGTGGTTTATGCAGAAAAAAATATCCAAAAGATTGTACAACCATTACCACTATCTAATTCCACAATATTTTCATCACCCCTAAAAGAAACCCTGTGCCCATTAGCAGTAACTGTCTATTCCCCTTTCCTATCTCCTGGCAACCATGAATCTATCTTCTGTCTCTATGGATTTGCTTATATTGAACATTTCATATATATGGGATCATATAATATGTGGTCTTTTGTGGCTGTTTTTTTTCCACTTAGCATAAATGTTTTGAGGTTCATCCTTGTTATAGCATGTATCAGTACTTCATTTCTTTATATCACCAAATAATATTTCATTGCATGGCTATACCACATTTTATTAATCTCTTCATCAGTTGATGGACATTTGGGTTATTGTGATTCTTTGGCTATTAGGAATCATGTTGCAAGTAATTGCTTTTAATTCATCATATATTTGCTAAGTGCATCTCTGTTCCAGCCATTGCCTGGGTTTTTAGGATTGACAAGAATAAGACTGTGTCCCTGCCTTTAAGGTACTTGGCCTAGCAGAGAAAATTAACACATATACAAATATCCATCATAACATATTAGAGGGAGCATGAAGTGCTGTAGAGGGAACAGTTTGTTTTAGCCAGTGGTGGCCCAGAAAGGCTACAGAGAGAGTGTAACCCAGGGCCTTGAAGGATGAGCTCATCAGCTTGAAGCGGGTCTTCCTGGATAGAAGGAATGCGATGAGTCAAAGCATGGCAACATGTAGGAAAATGGACATCAGCAGGTGAGGAAATGGCCTGCCAAGGCAGAGTCCATGGAGCAGAGAGGCTGGGAAAAGCTGGGAGGTTGTATGATATTCATAGTACACCAAGATTCAGATATAGAAATAGTTGAAGGTACATCACTCCCCAAAATATAATCTTTTGATCAGATTCCCTTTTCAGTGATCGATTGTAATGTGCTTCTGTTGTACTTTTTTTTAGGTAACCAACACGCAGATATTCCAGCTTCAATTTCATACTGGATTTATACCACTGGACACAACAGTTTTAAAGTTCACCAAGTAAGTACTGCTTGGGCTGAACATGTCTTTCAATCCGTGTAGCTGTGCAATGCTGAGACTCTTTGGCACTATGCTGTAGCATGCCCCAGAACCCTGTGCTTCTGGACCATCAAGTGTAACTGAGCAACACAGAAAGGCAGTATGCATTTAAAAATTTTCAGTTGGATAGGATTTGTCTTGAGAAGTACAGCAGATCAAAGACTTCAAGTAGAATGGTCTAAAATTCCATGTGACAGAGGAGAGAACAGAACCGTGGTGACTAGAGGTGGGAAAGGGGGTGGGGGAAGGAGGTTAGGGAGAAATTAGTTAATGGATACAAGGAATGAACATGTTTTGAAAGGATGAACATGCTAATTATCCTCATTTGATCGTCACACATTGTACATAGGTATAGATATTCAACTCTGTACCCCACGAATATGTATATTCAATTATGTTTCAATAAAATAAAATAAAATAAAATAAAATAAAATAAAATTCTGTGTGAGGGAACGAGAGTGAAAAAAGAGGGAACAAAGTATCACTACTGTGATCTTTTGCATCTATGTGTCCCTTTGTGTTTCCCTACAGGGATTGAAGTTTAACCAGTGGTATAGTATGAGCAATGACCCATCAGAATAGAGGCCTGGGGCTGGACAGTTAGCTCACTTGGTTAGGGTATGATGCTGATAACATCAAGGTCAAGAGGTCAGATCCCCCTTTTGGCCAGCTGCCAAAAAAAAAAAAAAGAATGGATGCCTAACCATAGCAGTGAAGCAGGATTCTGGAGGATCAACCGGCACCAGACATTAACTATCAGTTGCTATATCAAACTGTGGTTTAGGGAACTCGGTGAGGGGATGGGTGGTGGTGGCTGGAGCTGAGGTGGTAGCTGGGAGTTGCTGGGGCCAGGATAGGGGTAGTTGTTCAAGAGCTCAGGATGGTGACCGTGGGCTTATTTTGCTATTATAACAACTGATTTGGCCATGCAATGCATAATGGCTAGACGTATCAGCCTTGCCTTCTAGAATGCTTTCACATGCAGTACTATCCACATTCTTGAGTAGACATTATTCTCTTTTCTCTAGATGAGGAAACTGAGGCTCAGAAAAGTAAAGTAACTTATCTGGTTATGATTGAGCCTTCCTTGGAAGTAAGTGTCAGAGTTAACCTAAGGATCAACCTAAGATGGTTTCTATGTTGAACATTATACTGGATCCGTTGTTTTTCATTGGTCTTGTTCTTTTAAATCCCTATTTAGGCCTGAGTTAGATGCATGTGATGTACCAGAAAAATATCCTCAGCTATTCCAGGTGACACTGGATGTAGAACTGCAGCCCCATGACAAAGTGATAGACTTAACCCCACCATGGGAACATTACTGCACAAAAGATGTCAATCCCAGCATCCTCTTCTCTTCTCATCAGGAGCATCAAGATACGCTGGTCTTAGGAGGTATGAGTCACCTGGTAGTTTTGTTTTTCAGGACAAAGCTTCTGTGTTACTTATCACATTGCCTTATTTCTGTGTTTCATTGATGCTGCATGGCCTTTTGTCTTGCAGGACAGGCTCCAATAGATATCCCTCCGGACAACCCCAGGCATTTTGGGCAAGGTGGCTTCTTTGCATCTCTCTGTTGGCAAGGTACTTCAAAGCCTTTCTTTAAGTTACATAGTTTGATGATTAAGTGTTCTTCTGTAAAGACTGTTAGCCCTTGAAGAGGCCTAAAGTAAAGCAGTACTTAGAAGTCATCCAAGTTCCTCCCTATTTCATGCTCTTCCCACTCATTACTGTTTCGAATCAGGTAACTTTCCTACTTTCGGCTCTATGGATGCTTTTAGACTGATGCAAAAGGCCATTTTAAGCTGAATTCCACCTTTTCTAAGATGTGTTTTGGGTCACTTCTTTCCTGGATTGATGAATAAGTGTGATGTTTTCTAGGATCCCCCTTTTTAGGCTGCTGATAGCACAAAGAGATTAACAAAGGACTCTATCTTCTGCCCTCAACTAAATATTCTAAAAATGTAAAATCAGGCATTTCCAATACAGTGTTATAACCACTAGCAGAGCAGAACTGTACTTACCCTGGTACAGGAAAGGCACATACTTGACCTAGATATCTCTGCCACTTGCTTTAACAACCATGGCAGAAATTGGGGCTCAGTCACTGTGCTCTTTTCTCCCAGACCTGGAGATGTTTTCAGAATCCTTCTCAACATAACACCTCTGACTGCTGTCATAAGTAGACTGGCACTGACATCCTAAGCAGTACTCATTGGCCATCCTTGCTTTAGAGTTGGCTGAGGTTGACTGCAAGGTTCTGTGTAGAATTGAATAGCTGGGGTTTTCTATATGAAAGGGTTAGGAAACTGGCTTTGGGGATGGTCTAGTTAAACTTCTCTTGATTGACCTTCCTCTGATGTGTGAGTATAAGAGTATTCCTGTTGCCTACAGAAGTTTTCAGTGTTTGGTGAATTATTATTTGTGAATTATTACTATTATTTGTGAAAATTGTTTGTAGAATTCCTTTGAATTGAAAGGCTTACTATTTTCTTTCGAGGAATGGGGACCAACAACATCTCAAACTTGGAAAACTCAGTGAAATCTAAACAGCGGGTGGACTTCTCTTTGCTTTCCTTACCTCTTACCTTCCTCACAGTTAGGGCTTTTAATAAAATCTCACTCTTACCACTCCATTGTCATTTTAGTTAAATGATTTAGAAATAATTCCTGTAGACTATGAAATAAGTTTTAGCACAGATATACAATCTCTTATCTGAACCTCTCAGAGCCAGATGTGTTTATGAATGCGAATGTTTTGGATTTTAGAAAGGTAATACAGAGCATAAACTGTATATTAACATGCCCATCTCAGACAACAACCTGTAATCAAACATGTTAATATTTATGCAGTAAAACATATAAATAATAACCGTGGGTGAGATAAATGAAGACTATAAATCTTTCCTATCCATTCTGGTCAATTTCCTGACAACTGAGTTTATGCCAAACTTAGGAAAGCCTTTTCCTTTTCATAGCTTTTTGCATTTCGTAATTGGGAATGAGGGATATGGATCTGTACTTGATTTGGAATGTGGATCTAACAGGCTCCAATAGAGCAAATTTCTGTGGGAAGATCTGTGTCAAGGAGGGGCTGGAAAGTCATTCCTTCCTCAGAAGAGGCCTCTTTCCTTCTGCCCATTTTATGCTGAAAGTATCTCCTTTTAGGTTGGTGTAAGGACGATGTAAAGCAGAGCCATTCTGTCCACTTATTAGATATGTGATTTACTTCTGCTTCAGACCATGTGAGAAAGGCTTTGCTTTTGGCTGCCAGCAACATGGAGGAGTAAAAGACAGTGAGAAGTGCCAGCAAAGGACTGGCAAATAATGTTTTTCTTTTTTTTCCAAAGTAGCTAACATAGTGTCTAAAAAATAACAGCAATCAACACTTAGGTACTACTTACTATTGATCTGAGCCCTTTATAATATCATCTCACATAACTGTTTCAGTAGCCTGTGAGTTAGGTACTATTTATTGCCTTCATTTTGCTGAGGATGAAATCAAGGCACAGAGAAGTAAAGTGGCTTGCCCAGCGTCACAGAGCCAGTAAGCAGTTGAGCTGGATTCAATCCCAGGCTGTCTGGCTCCAGAATTACTGCTCTTTACCTGGTGCGACACTGCCTCTCAGATTCTCAACAAATGGTAATTGAATATATTGTGAAAAACATGAAGTTTTCCGTGGTAATGGTCTGAAAGCTCTGTTTGCTCAGGGCTGAGTTCTTCTCTCTTTCTGGAATTACTTGCATATAACAACAAGCAACAGTGCTGTGGTCAGTCACTAACCATTTATTGACATACTGGCCTTCTTTAGATCAGAAATCAGAGAAATCATTCTGTGAGGAGGACCACGCTGCTCTGGTGAATCAGGAAAGTGAGCAATCAGACGATGAGCTTCTGACCCTTTCCAGTCCGCATGGCAATGCCAACGGTGACAAACATCATGGAGCCAAGAAGCCCAGCAAAAAGCAGCAGGAGCCAGCTGCCCCTCCACCCCCTGAGGACGTGGACCTTCTGGGCCTAGAAGGGACTGCAGAGAGTAAGAACTTCTCTCCACCGGCGGCTCCTCCCAGCAATTCTGAACTACTGAGTGACCTGTTTGGGGGTGGAGGTGCAGCTGGTCCTGCCCAGGCTGGACAGGCAGGGGTGGAAGACGTGTTTCATCCTAGTGGGCCTGCGTCCACCCAGTCAACACCACGCCGTTCTGCCACCTCCACCTCCGCGTCTCCAACCCTAAGAGTGGGAGAAGGTAATTTTTTCCATTTTTGCTTTGTACCTCTCAGTTTTTCTTTGGGCCAAGGAAGTAGAATTGAACTTTCCTAATAAGCTAGACTTTCCTGATTTCCCTAAAAGTCCCTTCATTTTAATAGTAAACACAAAAGAAAATAGAAATACTGTCTATTTTGGTAAGACAGTAAGGCACTGTAAGAGTGGATACTTGAGCTCTAGACTCTAACTTTTTAATTTTAGCTTTCAGGACTTCAACCCCTGACCTGCTTTAGTTACTTCTACTTGGAGATGTATATTGATGGATTATTATTAATAATAACAGCTAGTATTTGTGGGGTACTTACAATTTGCCAGCCATGGAATTTAATACTAAACATGATTTAATTCTCACATAAACTCACTAAATAGGTGCTGTTATAATCTCCATTTTATAGTTGAGGAAATGGAGGCTTAGAAATAAATTAGTAGCTTAAGTTTATACAGGTAGTAATTGATGGGGCCAGGGTCCAAAACTAGGTCATTTGACTCCAGAGCTTTCCCTCAGTTTTCTTATAATGCCTTTTTGGAACTGTAGTTTTCTGAATAGTCTTTGACTATGCAGAGAAGTGTGTGGTTACTCCAAAATACATGTAAGGGACTCAAGCCAGCAGCACAGCTGACAGAACAGAGAAGTTGGTACCAGGTAGGGAGTGTGAGTCTCACGAGGCTCAGTTAGTTTCACTCTGCTTATTGCCACGGACCCAACCCTTCCTGTGACTGGTCATCCACAATTTTTTGACATTTGCAAAACAGTGTAGTTGGGTAAGCAGAGATCCATTATAGCTTCTGAAGAACCAACTCAAATCAGCTGCCCCTTGTTACTATTGCCATTAACCAAGATGACATCACATTAGGAAGGGTGAAGAGAAATGTCTCGATTCTCCAGGCCTATAGCATTCTGTAGGAACTCCCCCCCCACCCCCCCGAGCTTGTTCTTTACTTCTCAGAAGGCTGCGGGCTGGTCTTGATTTACAGTAGTTCATCTGGAGGCACTCCTGTTATAGACAATGAAACTGAGGCCTGGATATGTTGATTGGCTTGTCTGAGGATACCCAGCTGATTAGTGGCAAACTCAGGTCTAGAACTCAGGTACGTATTCTGTCCCCCAAGAGGAAGTAGAAAAACACCAGGTCTAGAGTTGAAGCCCTGGATTTGAATCCCAGCACCAATACTGAACTATCTGTGTAGCCATATTAAAAAATATTAACCTTCCTGTTTATAAAATGGGGATAATACTTACCTATTGACATTGTTATAAAGATTAAATTTTCAGCTCTTGTCTCGTGGTGTTTGGCAGTTCACTTTCAGCTATTGGAGAAAGCCTCTAATTTAACATAAAAGCGATAATAAAAATGTACCAAGTAATGATGAGAATATTTTGGCATCCACACTGGTTGGTTTCAAACTAGATGTAAAAGGACTATCCCAGTGTCCTCTTATAGTTACCCTATAAATATCAGTGTCCTCATTTTATAGAAGGGATAAGGTTTTGTGAGTATTAAATGACGTAAGGGATATACACCATGCAGCAGAGTGCCTGACACAGAGCGAGCACCTGCTGCTACACAATCGAGGCGAATCTGCTGCCCAGCAGATGTTAGGGGAGCATTATGCCAATGAAGTCAGACCTGAAAACTTGTTGAACCATATATCCTATCTCAGTTGTGAGAATGGGGTTTGTTAACTTGTTTTATTCTAGTTGTCTATTCCTAGAATGGGTCAATCCTATTCCAGGAAGCAAACAGCCCATTAGCTTGATATTTATAGATTAGTAAGTGACATCTCACTATGAGGAGCTAAAAGGAATTTTGTGTCTTGCTCAATAATGAGGAATTAAAGGCCAATTATACACGTGCAGTTCTGTGTGGTTTTCATCACATTTATTTCATGAGTGTAAGGAATGTGAGATGCCTTTGGGAAATTCCTGGAATTTAGATTCAGAAGACTTGAGCCCTCTTATTTACTTGACCTTGCACAAGAAACTTAGCTTTCTGAGCCTCAGTCTCATCATCACTAGAGTGAAGATTGCACTTCTGTGTGGCAGGCAGATATTGAGGATCAACTGAGGTATTCTTTATAACGACAATGTGAACCCTAAAAAATGATACAATATTAGTTGTTGTTGCATTATTGCTGGCAGTCTTAGCTTTCCATCTTCCTCTAGTCTTCTTAGTTCACTCACAAACTTTTCCTCACATTGCTAAATCTGCAGCTGGTTAAATCTGCAGCTGGTTCTATCAGTCGGGTTTTGGAAACATTTACTCCAAATTTCTGTGCATAAACAAATCTGAAATTAAGTATGTGATATAGAATAACAATAAGGATAATAGCTACCACTGTTCTGAGCATCTATATATCTACAATGTACTAGGGTTTTATAGTATAGTGATTAAAAGAGTATAATATGGAGACATACTCTCTGAGGGAAAAAAACAAAAACAAAAAAAATAGTTATGTGATCTAAGGCAAATTATTTAAGCTGTCAGGTCCTCAGTTTTCTCATCTTTTTTTTTTTTTTTTTGTCTTTTTGTCTTTTTCCGTGTCCGGCAACGGATCGCAACCCTCAGTGTTGCCCCCGTACCGGACCGGGGACCGGCAACGGGATCGCAACCCTCGGTGTTGCTTCCTGCACCTCGCTCAGCCAGTGAGCGGGAACCGGTCCGTATGTGGGATCCGAACCCTCGGGCGGGAGCGCCGCCGCACTTCCCAAGCGGCGCACTATCCAGTGCGCCACCGGGCCGGCCCGAAGAGAGTTCCATTTTCATCACTACTCTCATATTATTATCTTTAAAACTTTCAAGTGAGCCAGAGACCACTAAAAAACTAGACTAGACTAAACCTGGTCAGTGTGGTTTTTCTACTGTTCATTTTAATAACTGAGCTCCCCTCCTCCCTGGCCTGGTAATTGTCTACTAATTCATTCAGTGTGAGCATAATTCATTCACTGAGCACTTCCTGCGGTCCATGCATGGTTTTGCCACTCATTGATTCATTTGTGTTGACTTTGTTTTCTCAGCTGGTCTCTAAGCTTAGTTGACTTATTTCATGTTATTAAGATGTCCAAAGGCCAAGGGAGCCTTCATTTACAGTCTTTATGGTTCATCCAATAGATAAACCCAGACTCCTACAAAGATGGGATTATTCTTGTATGGTAGAAATCTTTGGGGTTCATTGTTAGCCCTGGAACAAGTTTTGAAGATAGGATGGGCCGCATTATCCTGATTTTTCAAATATTTGGCCTAGGCCCAGATAATAGTGACAATTGTTTGATATTTCTTGAATAAATGAACTCATAGGACAAAGAATACATTATTCCCATTGATTTCTAGGTGCTACCTTTGACCCATTTGGAGCCCCTTCTAAACCATCAGGTCAGGATTTGCTCGGTTCTTTTCTGAACACATCCAATGCTTCCAGTGACCCCTTTCTTCAGCCTACGAGAAGTCCTTCACCAACAGTGCATGGTAAGAGAGGATTTTATATTGTGTTCAGTAGAGCATAGTTTTCTGCAAGATGTCAGTAGGTGCTCAGATTTAAAAGCATCCTGTGGGTGTTTTTTTTGGAAAAAGCTATATAATGCATCTCTCTTTTGGAAATTAACAATTCACATTAACATACCAAAAGCTCTGGATGTCTTACAGGAAAAAAGCCTGCTTAGCTTTGTTTTACTCAGCTTTCCTGAAACTTATTTGACTGTAGAACTCTTTTTTGCATTAGAGCTACATGCACAGAATCATCAGATACCATCGATTATAAAGTGTATGATTATTTTTTGTACCAACAAGAAAAAAAATGCTGCCACTTTTTAACTGATTGGAAGATGCATCCTGGCAGGAGAAATCTTTGAAATGTGGAAAAATATGAGCCTTAAATTAACAAAATATGATATTAGCATTCCATGAGATTAGTATCTCACAGAACAAAGTTTAGGATTTACCACCCTGATATATTAAAGCTATTCTGTCTAATATGATAGTCACTAGTCACATGTGGCTATTGAGCACTTGAAATGTAGCTAGTCTGAGATGTGCTGTAAGTACAAAATACATGCTAGATCTCAAAACTTAGTACAACAAAAGAATATAAAATATCTTGTTCATATTTTTTATATTGATTACTTGTTAAAATAATATTTTGAATATTTTGTATTGAACAAATATATTATTAAATTATTAAATTTAATTTTACTGATATCTTTTTACTTTTTAAAATGTGACTACCAGGGCCGGCCCGGTGGCGCACTGCTATAGTGCGCCGCTTGGGAAGCGTGGAGGCGCTCCCGCCGAGGGTTGGGATCCCACATACAGACAAGCCGCTCACTGGCTAAGCGAGGTGCGGGAGCAACACCGAGGGTTGCGATCCCGTAGCCAGTCCCGGTCCGGTACGGGCGCGACACTGAGGGTTGCAATCCGTTGCCGGTCAAGAAAAAAGACAAAAAGGGAAAATAAATAAATAAATAAATAAAATAAAATGTGACTACCAGAAAACTTAAATTGACATATGTGGACCACTTTATCTTTCTATATTAGAGATTTAGGTTGTGTAAAAAAAATAGAAATCATAACCATTTGTAAGTGCAACAATGTATCACTTAGATAACACTGATTAAAGCTGAAGCTCTTTAGTGAAGGACAAATGATTTGTAGCTCATTCTTTTTTGTTTTTTGTCTTTTTGTCTTTTTCCATGTCCAGCAACGGATCGCAACCCTCAGTGTTGCCCCCGTACCGGACCGGGGACCGGCAACGGGATTGCAACCCTTGGTGTTGCTCCCGCGCCTCGCTCAGCCAGTGAGCGGGAACCGGTCTGCATGTGGGATCCGAACCCTCGGGCGGGAGCGCCGCCGCGCTTCCCAAGCGGCGCACTATCCAGTGCGCCACCGGGCCGGCCCTGTAGCTCATTCTTGATTTTGAATGCTATTAAACATTATTGGCCTCAATCTAGAAGGGAATGTATTGTTGAAGGCACCCTGAACTTGCCCAGAGAATGCAGTCCAGTCATCAGCTTGACTTGAGAAATCAGTCCAGGAGCAACCTTTATGGGTGATTATCCATTGGTCTTTAATCTTAAACTATTTGACAATGTATAAGAAATTCACCACTCGTCCATGAGTAGTGCCCACCTCAGAGAGTCACCTGATTGGATGTTGATTACCCAGGGAAGGAAGGATGCAGGAATGTAGGTTAAAATTGTTGTTTTTACTCACTCATTTAAAATGTGAGTCATGTTATTGCTGTGCTCAAATAGCTCCCTCTTTCACTTGGCATGAAGCCAAAGTCCCCACAGTGCCCTAGTCCATCCCAGGGCGGGTGACCTCATGTCCTGCTTTTCCTCCCCTGCTCTCTCCTTTCCTGCCATACTGGCCTCTTTGCTGTTGCTCTGGCTGATACTCCACCTCAAATACTCATCCTCAGATGTCTGCATGGCTAACTCCTTCACCTCCTTTGAGAATTTGCTCAAATGTCACCTTCTCTGTGGGGTCTACTCTGCTTCATTGCAAATCACAACTCATCCTCTGCCCCTACTCTACATTTTCCTTGTCATTGTATCTGTTTAACTTACAATATATGGAATGATTTACTTATGTGTTGTGTTAATTTTTTGGTTGTCTGTTTCTCCTCACTAGAACATGAGTTCCACAAAGGCAGGGATTTTTGTTTGTTTCTTTTGTTAATGCATTCCTAGTGCCTGGAAGAATTACTGGCACACAGTAGGTACTATCTATCTATCTTTCTATCTAATATAGAAATATAAAATGAATTAACTCATTTTTTTTCCTATCAAAGTTTCTTTGATGCATAGTGATAGTGTCTATAAGGTTATACATTTTCCTGACTTTAGTACTTTGAATTTATTGTTTTGGTAAGAGTACTACCTTTCATGTCCCATGGATGTTTGTACTTGGATGTTTGTACTTCAGCACGGCAGTTCTGGATCCAATTCTCTTGTTTTTGGTGAGCTGGTTAGAACACATTGTTTATCATCCAGTTTAGGCCAGTTAGCACTCCTTTGTTTTGTGGCTGTGTTTCTCATTTTGGTGTGTATCATGCCAGTGAGAGAAGAGAATTTTCACAATCCTAGCTGAGAAAGCAGTTATCACTCCATTGTTAGTGAGCCAGTTGCATTATTTTTATATAGGATAGAATAGAGGTGAGACCCAGATGTCAACTTTGGAAGGTAAGACTGCCCACATCCAAATTCTTGGGGGTGCTTCCCAAAGGTTTCTACAAGTCATTGCCAGTCTCTTTGGAAAATCAAGAAATACCACTTTTGAGTTCAACAAATATTTATTGAACATCTATTCTGAAGAGAATAATCATGTGGGACATGGTGTTGGAAGAACAAGTAAACAACAACAATAAAAGACAATAATAGAGACTAAAAATATTAGATAATTACTTTTTCATTTGTATGCTCCGATCTCTCCAACAGATTTTAAGTTTCTTGAGATAAGCAGTGTGTCTTTTAGTGCTGTGTTCCCTGGCATGGTGCCTTGCATACAGTAGGTTGTCATAAGGATTTGTGGGTTTGATTGGTAAGAAGGTTGAAGTTCTAATGCCTAGTTCTACATACTAGTTGGATATAAGACTAAAATCAGAGTTCAAAAGAAATCAGAAAGCAAATGTTAGTGAAACTGTCTAATTTCCACCTCAGTTTTTATAAGTTACCATGGAAAAAGAGAAGGGAGGAATAGAAAAGCGAGAACTGTTATTGCTGATAATGGCATGTTCTTTTTAACTCAATGATGGGAAGGTACAAGATGTCGTGGTTGTTACTAAGTGAACAAAACAATTTTGGAATGCTAATCTTGGTGTCTTGATGATTCTTCTGGTGGGGTGTGTGGTGTGTGTGTTTCAAATCCTACTTGTAATGTCAGTTTAGTACATTATTTGCATTTTACTCATTGATTTTTATGGGTAAAACCTAGAGGTGCTTTAGAAAGAAAAATTCTTTCTTATGACATTCTATTTCTTATGCAGATTTCATAGATGCAGAAAAAACTTACGGCTAATCTGTCTTCCTCTAATACACCTGATTCTCTTCAGCTGAACATTTCTTCTAAATTATATGTTTGGAATTTTGAGGGGTCAGGATGATCTATTCTGAAGCTGTTATGAGTTTATTTTGAGTGACAGTGGACACATCTCTGACACCAGCATAGTGGATGGTATACAGTCAGTGCTCCATGCATGTTCTGAATGACTCATCATTCTCCATTCATGTCACAGCAGAAGAGAAAACAAAATTTCAGTTCTAAGTGGATCTTGTGTTTAAGAGGTTTTTCCTTTCTTTTCTTATTGCCTACTGACTCTGTGTTGAATATAAAGGTGGGACACACAAAGATGAGTCAGATAGATCTTTCCTTTAAGGGACTCACAATTTAATGAAGGGACACGTGCACAATTATAATTCAGTCTGATATTATGGAGGCAGAACAAAGGTAAGCCAAAGAAGGAATGGAGACAAATAATACATTGTTTCTGCCAGCCTCATATGAGCGGTCATAGGTGAAGGCAGAAATACCAAGTGTTGCCACATGAGGAGAGAGCTCAGAAGGAGGAATGAATCCCTTGAGACCTTGGGAGGCCAGGCAGGCTTCAGGAAAGGGATGGCGTTATCCTGTGTGAACTCAGAAAAGTGAACTCTGAGCTGTCTTGTTCTCATTCTTTGTCTTCTCCCCACTTGCAGCTTCTAGTACACCTGCTGTGAACATTCAGCCAGATGTTTCAGGAAGTTGGGACTGGCATACTAAACCAGGTAAAAGTCAGCAGGTCATTTTATACACATTTAACCAATTGCTGAAGCAAAATTCTTCACCCAAGATGAAGTGTATACTGACAGTGTTATAGGCCACCCAGGTAATTTCTGTTGATTTTTCCTTAAAGACTCATATTCTGAAGGAGCTTTCCCAAAGTACCTGAGGACATGATAATGCTACTTATTATATGTTATTTAACTTTTGTTAGTCTGATTTGCTGAACATCTGTTTTGACAATAAAATCAGACAGATCTAGATGGGTATCTAACTCTAACACTTAGATACTTAAATTTTTTGACAAGTCGGAGCCTCAGTTTTCTTATCTGTAAAGTAGGGATAATAATTTTTATTCCACATACTTGTCTAAGTTTAAGTGAAATAACTTGTATGAAAGTTTCCGGCATAGAATAGAGGCTAAACAAATACTTCTTCAAAAAGTAGTTATTTAAGGGCTGGATTTGTCTGTAATAAATAAGGTCTCTTTCTCATGGCTACTGTGGCATTCATTGAGAGCTGTGTTGTGTGACTATATTCCTGACGCTGTGTAAGTTAAATGCATGCATGTGTACACACATACAAGCACACACACACAATGTGTTAGTCACAGCAACTTTCTGAAGCAGTTGCTGTTTCCTCTTTTTTTTATTGTGGCAAAAAAACCTTCACATGGCATAAAATTCACCCTCCCAACAATTTCCAAGTGTATAGTATACGATTGTCAACAGATCCCCACCATGAGCACGCCTACCCCAACCATCCTGCCTGACTAAAACTCTACACCCATGAACAACAACTCCCCACCTCTCTCTCTCCCCAGCCCCTAGCAACCACCATTTTACTTTCTGTTTCTATAATTTTGACTACTTTAGATACCTTATATAAGTAGAATCGTATAGAATTTGTCTTTTTGTGACTGGCTTGATTCACTTAGCATAATGTCCTTGAGATTCATCCACATTGTAGCATGTGATAGGACTTCCTTCTTTTTTAAAGGTGAATATTTCATATTCCACTGTATGTATGTATCACATTTTAATTTTATTTATTTATTTATTTTTGTCTATTCATCTGTCAATGGATGTTTAGGTTGCTTCCAATTCTTGGCTATTGTGAATAAATAAATAAATAAATACTGCTTATGAACATGGGTGTACAAATATCTCTTCAAGATCCTGCTTTCAATTCTTTTGGATACCCAGAAGTGAATTGTTGGATCATATGGCAATCTTATTTTTAATTTTTTAGCAATCTCCATACTGTTTTCTACAGTGGCTGCACCATTTTACATTCCTACCAACAGTGTGCAAGGAAGAGTTCCAATTTCTCACATCTCACCAACACTTATTATTTTTATTTATTTATTTATTTTTGATAGTGGCCATCCTAACAGCAAGTCTGCTGCCACCAGCCTCACAGGGAGGTTATGTCTCAGTGTGGTTTTGGTTTGCCTTCCCTAATAATTAGTGATGTTGAGCATCTTTCTTTTTTTTTTTTTTTAAGCATTTATTTCAGCTGGCCAGTCTGGGGATCTGAACCCATGACCTTGGTGTTATAAGGCTGCACTCTAACCAGCTGAGCTAACTGGCCAGCCTATGTTGAGCATCTTTTTATATGCTTGTTGGCTGTTTTTAAATCCTGTTTGGGTAAATGTCTATTCAAGTCCTTTGCCCATTTTAAAATTGGGTTATTTGTTACTTTATCACTGAGTTGTAGGAGATCTTTATATATTCTGGATATTAACCGCTTGTGAAATATAAGGTTCATAAATTTTCTCCCATTCCATAGGATTTCTTTTTTATTTTGTTGATTGTTTCCTTTGCTGTGCAGGTGTTTTTAGTCTGATGTAGTCCCATTTGTCTATTTTTCTTTTGTTGCCTGTGATATTTAGTTACATATTGTTTGTTTGTTTGTTTTTTAAGCCAATGATAAAATGTTGAAGCTTAAAGACATTAAGCAAGATGCCCAAGGCCACTCAGTTAGAAAGTAGCAGAATTAGAATTTAGATCCATGCCTGACTTCAAATGCCATAGGAAAGAATGAACTCAGGTGATGTGAGAGGTAAATGCTGGAAATGATAGTTCACATGTGTGGCCAGGAAACAGCATGTGTCTTTTCTGTGTCCTGTCCTTACTCCAAGCCACCATGTACCCAATTTAGAGAAACAGAGTCAAACAACTTCTTACTCATTTCCAAACCCTGTTCTAATTTGCCCTAGAGACAAATAAGCAGTAGCTCTGGAATTCTGAATTTCACAATTCAGCCTCAGACAACTAACTCATTTTCAATTATTTTATTTCCTTTTCAGGAGGGTTTGGAATGGGAAGCAAGTCCGCTGCCACCAGCCCCACAGGATCGTTGCAAGGCACTCCCACACATCAGAACAAACCCCAGACTCTGGATCCTTTTGCCGACCTTGGGACACTGGGTACAAACTCAGTAGTTTATGATATAAATGACATTTACTTGTAGCTACAAAGCCTCAAATCTAAATCTTTAGTGTTATCAAAAGCTGATATTTGTTGCCTGGGACCTAAAATAGAATGTATTCTTAAGATATCCCCTAAGATCTGAGATTGGCTTTTTTTATAAAAAGGAACAGGCATCAAATATTGGTTTGGGAATCATCTCTGTTAATTCATTTTTCTAATGTGTAATTTAATTTTTAAAATTTTCTTTAATTAATCATAATTGATTATACATATTTTGGGGGTTCGACATTGATATGCATTGATCAAATCAATATTATTAGCATATATGTTATTACAAATTGTACTTATTGTTCAGTCTCTCCTCATCCCCCTCTCTCTCCCCACTCCCACCTCTGCTAACTCTAGATTTCTTCTCTCCTTCTGAAACAGTAATGGTTACTCTGTTGATTTCTTGCCTAGATGACCTGTCTAGTGCTCAGAGAGGTGTGTTCATATCCCCCACTATTATCATAGAGCAGATGCTTCTTCTATCACTCTGGAATGGGCTTTGCAGAAAGAAACATCCTCTTCTTTGGTCTGTGCTGGTGACTCTCCTTGTGTCAATGTACTTGAGCGGCTGGCTAGCCATCTGCGTAGTGGTTGTGGTGTCTAGCTGCTTTTTTAGCAGCTGTGGCTATTGTGGTGGCTGTGGTGGGCCACCCACATGGAAGTGGTGTTTTTGGTGTGTTCCTTGCCTGGTTGTGGGAGGAGGGGTCAGTCCCTGGCTCCATGCCTCAGGACCCCAGACGGGCCCCATGGCAGCAGCACGTGCCTGGTTGCACTAATGCCTAATTTTAGATTAGTAGTATGAATAAAGCTAGAGCCTGTAGGAAGACATGACAACAGAGTTTGCCTGCAGCAAAGGTAATGTGTAGGGAAATGGTAAGAGTTGAGGCTAGTCCAATACATTTGTGCCACATGGTGCCAACCTTGCAGAAGCCTTACTGTGATGTTACTTGTGAGAGCCTCACACCATTATTCCCCTTCTCCCCGTTAGCTGCAATACTCTCCAGACAATTTGGAAAATCTGCTGCAGAAAATAGACTGTATAGTAGTTCCAGAATGTTTTTCACCATATGTTAATAATAGGTGTTACAAGATAAGTATTCCATGAACAGTGAGTTTGGGAAACACTGGGCTCAGTGGATTTTGATTACTGCTAATGGGGATACAGTATCCAGGGTTCTCAAACCCATTTCACCAAGGAACCTTTTTTCAAGGAGATATTCATTGGATTACTTGTTCTAAAACCTTTTTTTCCTCCTTTTTTGTTCCTCCTCTAGTACCGTACAGACTTGTTAAATAAGGATGGGGTAGCCCTAACACAGAGGTTTACACTGACCATGTTGATAGTCTACATTCTCAGAAAGCCCTCCTGAGGCATTTAGAGCCAAATTGACTGCAGGGAACGTGAGCATGGCTGCCGTTTTTGCCAGTAATTGTGTCAGAATTTTGAACTTCCATTCTATACTCTTTAGACTTTTGTTTTTCCTTTTAAGAACTCTCAAAATTATTTCAACAGTTATCCTCTTCCTTACCCTTCTTTGTATCTTAATGTAAGTTTCAAATTTTAAGGTAGTAACATCAGGTGAAATTCTACTTGCATAAAATCTTCTTCACTTTTCATCCTTTTAAGTATTTATTCATTTATTCATCCAACAAATATTTATTAAGTGCCTTCTATGTGCTAGCACTGTTTTAATAAAAACCAACCAACCAAATAAAAAAAGCAAAATGAAACTCCTGTCTTAACAGAACTTACATCCTAAAATGGTAAGCAGACAGTAAATGAGTAAATATATAATATAATGCCAAATAATAAAAATAACAGTTAATGTTTATTGGGGGCTTTACTATGTGGCAGGCACTATTTTAAGTGTTTTACATATATCATTTATTTAATCTTTCTAATAATCTTTTGAAGTAGGCACTGTTATAATGCTCATTTTGTGGATGAGGAAATGGGCACAAAAGGTTAAGTAACATGCCCAACTCACACGTTTCAACACCAAGAAGTCTAGCTCTGAAGCTTGCACTCATAACCCACATGCTAAGTACTATGAAAAAAAAATAGGGAAAAGGAGAAAATAGGGAAAGGAAGGAGATGGTGAATGATGGATGGGCCAGGGTGTTATCTAGATAACAGGTGGTTAGGGATGTCCTCTCTGAAAAGGTGACTTTTATAGGAAGTTCCTTTTTAAAATCCAGCATCAAAACCTGCCTGACTGATGGTACCAAAGTGCCAGTGACCTTGCTGGCAGCAGTGCTCCCTGCCACTGCTGCAGACACTGGTGCTGAGCGAGTGGTCCACAGTAGCCACTGCCACAGCAACTAATGCTACAAGCGTGGCTCAGTGCCACCACCACCACCTTATAGGTGGCCCACTGACCACACATTGGCATAGGCAGAAGGAGAGTCACCAGGGAGCCTGGGGAAAGAGGTGAGTGAGTGCAGACCTGCAACCCAGTGGCCCAACCCACAGGGGGAATTATGCTGCCAGACACAGTAGCACACCTGAGGGTGGAAAGTACACACATAGCTGACGGGACTGCCTTCATCTGGGGAAAGAAACATGCGGAGCCCTTAAGAGTATACAAAAACTGGGCTGACCCCGTGGCTCACTTGGGAGAGTGCGGTGCTGGGAGCGCAGCAGCGCTCCCGCCGCGGGTTTGGATCCTATATAGGG